CTTTCCACCGAGATGGCTGGGACTCGAACCCAGGTTGGTTGGTTCATAGCGAGTGTTATTTAACCACTGCCACCGCGCCCCTCCTTTGGATGGCTGCAGTAGTTTGTAAGTTTTTTTGCAGTCTTGCAGCACCTGATGCGTAAAACCGCTGTGGGTTGGTAATCGTCAGGCCCGGAGCAGATGGTGGTGCCGTGTCTCCCCTGGCGATGGGCATCGGTGACCGTGTTTTTATGGGTTGAGTCTCGCCCCACTTTTAGTTTTCCTGTTACACGAATACCCCCATTCGACGTTTACCGGTGGGTTTTTTTATATCATCACCTTGATCAATACCGCAACCTGATTTGTGTCGCCTCCAACCCACGTCGCTGACGACATCGCCCCTCCTTTCTCGAATCCCCGTCCCCTCGGCCTCCTCCTCCCTTGTAGATGGTTTTGATATTCGTCTTCCATTCTTTTTCAGAACGCACCCCCGACGCAAGCCGTGGTTGTTACTGTCAGTGGCAGACCTGGGCCCTCTTCCTCCCCTTGGCTTGTTGGCCAATTCGTGGCGAGGGTGACTTGACCCACCCGCGAGTGACCCCTGGTGGCAACAAACTGTGGTGGTCTCGTTGGCATTCCGCATTGCACCAATGTACACGGTGTTGTCCACGATCAAAGCCGCTTCACGGCCCTATGCTTTGCGTTACAGGCACTGTTGCAATAATTCAAACGTAGCCGGCTCTTCTATCTACTGCTGGATGAAGAATCTCTCAATTGCGATCAATTTTGCGTGATACGCTGAAATCGATTGTTCTGCTAAAATATATTGAAATTTTCCACTTCTGCTGGAACTGCAGGATAGTTGTAAATTAAGTGTTGCTTTATATACGGTCTTTTGACTCTTTTCCTTACCCTTTCAGATTGCAATTGGTACATGCTGATGATGGGAAAGGTCCTGGATAATTGTGCGGGTCTCTACCCATTGTTTCTCCATTTTAGATTGTGCCGTGATCTCGTTGCTTACGCAGTTACGATCTTGATGCAGGCAGGTTTAATAACTTGCATAGCCCTGTCAATCCACTGCTGCCCATGCTGTCGGCCAATGAGGCTCGATTGGCCAACACAGGATATTGAGTTTGAAAACTGAGTTTACACCCCCATCTGAAGCAACACGGCATAGAGAAAGGAAGCCTTTCCCTGAATAATTATAATCGGTCCCATTTTTATTGAATTTGATGTTTCTGTTTTGTCCTATTCGAAGGCAAACCTTTGTGTAATATAGCTGAATTGGAGCATTGTGAAAGTTAGATTGCGACATCAGCCTGCTTCCTTGGCAGCCAAAACTACAAACCAGCTCGGTCTTCTAGATGAAGCCACTTTTTTTACTTTGTGCAAAGGCAGCCTGAAGCTGCTTTTGCAGTGACTGGCTTTTTTGAAGGTGGTATTTTTAAACTTGGATGTTTTGCCGAAGGGGCATCCATTAATGCAAGGAGCAATTTGCGTTATTTTGGTCCGATTCTCTGTCCTGCGCGGGGGGGTTGCGTCAACCCGTGCATGGATCTGACTCTGAGCTCGACGAATGTCGGGCCCGGGGCACAGGTTGTGTTCAGACTGTGACCACGAGGTGGTGCCCCCCCTATCGCCAGGTTTGTGCTGGTGACTCAACTGGGTTACTTGGGCACAGAGCTCCCTCTGCTGGCAATCCTGGATTCATATTCGCATTTCATCCGCCTGTGATATTTTTTTTTACAGTTTTTGAGGTGTAGCACGTTACTCGGTCTGGTCACCGATTTAACTACACGCAAAAACACCGTAGTTTCAATTTGTCACGTCATTTTGTTAACTTCCATGTCTGGGAATTGAAAAATGGTGTGACTGGAATGGAAAGTGCCCCTTGGTAGTAAAAGGGAACTTGAAGGGATTTCAATGGTATTTGCTGGATATCTGAAACATACCTTTCGCTCATCAAATTCCACCAGTATAAATAAATATTCATATTTCTACATTCCATGGGAAATTGTTGATAATACCACCTGCCATTCTTGCATTAAGTTTGCTTTTGGATTGTTTTTGTAATTGTGGTGCTCCAGCTGAGCTTGTTGTCCTCCTTTGGCTTTAAGCAAAGGGAAGTTTTTTCTGTAAGATGACATTGGCAACAATATATTCTGAAATTGGATGCACATTCTACCATGTTATTTTTCAAGATAATCTGGTAGATTTGATGCGCACCATAAGCAGCTTGTGCCGACTACGTTACAATGTGACTTTGCCCTGCACATCTGTGCACCACATTTTTTATTAACGACTGGATGTGGGAAATGTTGCGCAGTTATCCTCATGAAAGGGTCACGACTTATTGCGCTGTACGCAGTCCTGTCGCACTTCAGCCATGGTTATTCCTGAACTGAAATTTTATAAACGTTAGCGCTTTTGTGCTGATCTTTTATGAACGGGCTTTGATTAATGCTGACCTTAAATTCTTACCAGCTAAAACAATGTCCGTGGCATTCACAATAAAGAAATACAAATATTCCAAAACACTTAAAGTTCAATGTTGCTGACATCCTGGATTAAAAACTAGACGGGCTGATTGAACTGGATTTTCTACCGAAGAGTGCTGTTCTCCAACCTGGTCATCAATGAATGTTATTAAATTTCACCTCGGTATTATACAATATTTTAGAACCGTTAGAATGGTCACTTCTATCGTTAACATGATGGAGATCTGAGGTAGCTCTATGATATCCGCTTCTGTTGGCCGTTTGCCTGCGGACAAGGGGGTCATGCTGCTCTGAGCGAGTTCAGTTATTCCTCTTATGACATAATACGGATCGCACAATGGATACGGTTTATGGAAAAACATAAAGATTCTCTGCTGCTTGGCTGACAACAAAGTTTGGGCCCCAAGGAGACCTGGGCTTGAATTGCCCTGTAGGGAATGGGGGGGGGGGGGGGGGGGCGGCCTAGTGTTTTTCAGCAAGAAACCTACACAGCCGGCTGTGGCTTTAATTTTTTTCGTGTGCTTTATGGCGCACACTCGCATAAGTTTTGCCGTGCTCGAGTTTCCTGCTCCCCCCCCCCCCCCTGCTTGTTTGGCCAGGTTGCCGGGGAACGATGGCGTGCTCTCCTAATCGTGGTTTGTGCTCCCCGCCCGAGTAGTGCTAGGATGGCCATGGGCAGCGGCGGCAGCAGCAGAGACTCGTCGCACATTTCCACAGCATCTGTCTTGTGCCCCGTAGCCTGATGTATGATGGAGAGTGCACTTCTCGCCTGTCCATCCAAACCCATTTTAGGAGAAAATGAAATTGTAAAATGTCACGCTTGTTTTGCGATTTGAACTGCAGGTTTTTGCCATTGTGTTGGATACAAAATGACCATTCCTATAGTAGCTTCCAGCAGCATGTGGCTCGACATCGTAACACCATTCCAAACGACACGTGGCGCAACATGAACGCCCATCGGAAAGCTATGGTCTCAAGATTACATTATTATAGTTCTGGTGAGAATGTTCAAGATTTACGTTTTTTGGCATTAAAAAAAAAAGTTTGCTCTCACGGCTTTTGGTGTCGGAGGGGAAATTCAGTAAGTTACGGGGACTCCGGGATCGCTGGGAATGTGCGGTGTTTGTTTTTGGTGGCGGTGGTGGCTTCCCGCTCGTGGCGTGGTCTCTTTCCGCTGCTATTGTCCCCCACTCGCTGGGGATGGAGATTGCGGGGAGGGGGGGGGATGGTGGCATGGGCTCGGTGTGTACTTAAAGTTCACGGTGTTCCCGCGACGCCACTCGCTTCGAAGCAGTGATTTGTGTTTATTTATTAATCGTTTCCTTTGACAACTGCTGCCTGGTGATTTAATCACATTTGCTGGTTATCAACAGTCTGGTGCACAAGATTACCACATTGTGAAAACTCACTTGGATCAGATGGCTGGGAAAATGTACATGTGGATTTCAGTGGGTTTTAAACATTGTGGCATTTATTTCTCAGGATGTTTTTTTGCCAAATCTCTTCCATTCTGGGTGTTTTTAAAACGAAAAAAGCAGCATATTCTTAAAAAAACACTGTTTTAGTGACTGGCAACCGGTGATATTTCCCATTTTGGGTAAATCGTTGAGCGGCTCATTGGGACTTGAATATCTATTTCGTGCTTTGTGCAGTCGCCGAAACCAACGCCATTGTCGTAGCAGTTAGAAGCATTTGTTCACAGTTACGCTTGTTGGGTCTGCTCTCCTGATTTGGCTTTTTTTTTAGTGTGGAGGGGAGTTTGGGCGTGGGGGGGTTAAAATAAAAATTGGAAAAATCCAAGCGTCCAGTTTCCTGTTCTTGTTGCGCAACAACCTCTGGCATCCGCTTGGGCCACGCTCTCGAGGAAGCTGTTGCCGCTTTTTATTTCGGGACTGCTTTTCCGCTGCCGCTCGCGCGAGACGACGGAGTGCCGTCGTGCTCTGCGGGGGGAGCCTCCGCACAGTTCGAGGTCCGAGCGGTGGCGGCGGTGCCGCGTTTGACCCTTTTGGGAAGAGAGGCGCCTCTCGCTGTGGACTATGGCAGGTACGGCGGAGCGTTGGTGTGGTGGCGACGCGGTTCGCCCCTTGCGCTACCGGCCCTGGTGGCCCCGGGTGTTCAATCCTTTGACTGCGGGATTTTTATTTAATCGGTGACGAGTATCTGAACCATTCCTCCTGAACCCTTCCCAAGGTCGACTCGTCCATAGATTGAGAGGTACCTGGTGCAATGTGTAAGACGTCGGTGTTGGGGGGGAGGCATTTGGCCAGGTATGGCACTGGCCACGACACCCTCTCGTGTGTCGCACCAGCCCCTTTCTAAAGTAGGTGCTTGCAGCACACCGCCCCCACTTTAGCATCTGCGAGCCAAACGGGATGGATGTATGCTCTGTACGTGTGCCCTGCTGACAGACTCTTCAACTCGGTTCCCCCCTTACCCTTAAACAAATTGCCGCTGGGGTGTTGGCGTCCGGGAACGTCCCCCCCGTGAGTTCCACCGTGCGCGCGTCTCTTCCGATTGCAGAAGACGACGTGGACTTAGAGGCGCTGGTGAACGAGATGAGTATCTCGTCCCCGGCGGCAACGTTGGCGGCTGACGGGCCGACTACGTCGCAGCAGCACCGGGGCGAGGGGCGGGCGGCCGCCACGCAGGCGAGGCGCGGCCCTCCGGCGGGGTCGGCGCCCGGCTCCGGCACCTCGTCGCCCGTCCACGTGTCTCCCCGGCAGGGCCTCCGCCGCTCCCTACCCATGCACATCAAAGCATTCAGGTATGCCCTCGTGCACGTGTGTGTGTGTGTACGTATTTAGGGTCGTCTGTAACGCATGGGCCTGTTCTGTGACCACTTGTCAGGTAAGTCTTTTAAACTTCACTTGGCCTTGGAGAGCCTGGTGCAAATCTGTCTGTCGCTTGGTGGTGAGTCGGCTGTTGTGCGTGTGGTCTGAGCATGGGTACATGTAAGGTGGAGTGTAGGCACGTGTGTGTGTTGGGACCGTGACCCAGTCAATGGTGGATGGTCTTCTGCTTGAACAGTCGCCCAACTTGATTAGATTCCCATTCATGGCTTGCCTCAGTCTGTGCTGGCCACTCTCATGGCTTGACGTGAACTTGAGTACCTGGTGCTGTGTGAACGCGAGCACTGGGCAGATGTAGGCGTTTGGGTGGGATTCTGATCACACGCTCGGCTCGTGTCCCACGTCAGCCTTGACAGAAGTGCTTGTGAAGGCCGGGGGGGGGAGCGGGGCAGGTTGGTATGGTGGTTAATGCGCTGAGCTGCTGTCCTGGCAACCGGAGTTAATTTTCCAGCCGTGGCTATATCGTCCGTGCTACCTCCTCCCCACGCTGTCATGGCAGCCACCTGTTGATTTAGCTTTTAAGCAACATCAGCATGGGATGCTGGGCAGGCGTGGCTGCGAGTCGTCGCTACCACCACGCCCTCGTGCGACCGTGCCCACTTCGATGTTTGCACGCTAAAGGAGCTTGCCCCGACTGTCTATCAACCTAAATATTAGCGTTGCACACGCAGATGTGCGTGCACAAAGCAGGCAACTCTTAACTGTTCTTAGATGGGCAACATTTCACACATCAAAATAGCAATTAATAAAGGAGTAGTGTTTCTATTAATTCAAGTTATACTTTTGTAAAGATGTTATGAAATTTATTTTAAGTTGTCCATGGTGGCATTTTGAGCCCAGGACAAAATGGTCCCAAAATTAGTTCTTCCTAAACCTCTGGCCCTTGCCTTCATCAGAACTCTCTCTGCACTTGCTGCAACAAGTCTCCAACTAAATTGTAGCTGCACTTGTGTGTGGTGCTGCTTGCGTGTCTTGGTGACTCTGCAAACAGTAAAGCTTTTGACAGGGCCACGTTATCCTTGTGCCTCCCTCTGTGTAAAAAAAAAAAGGTTACACGCTTTGCATCTCGGGCGAGTGGCCCCGGTGCCTCGGCGTCCCTGCCAACGCTCATCAAGCAATACGCGTTATCTGTCTGGGTGGCGCGCTCGTGTTTCCCAGAACGCTACGTACAGATCTGGCTGGTTTTATTAATAGGTATATATCCTACCAACGGAACCATGTTAATGGCACCCAGTGCCCAACCACACAGGAGAGATGCCTGTGCTGCATTGGTGCGGGGAGTGCCTTATGGTGGAGTCGTAAATGTTTACTGACGTTTATCTTTAGAAGTAAATATATAAATGCCATCTAAAACAAGCTGGTTAAGCTGTTACATCAAAGGAAGCTTGCTTTTTTGTTGGGCAATTTGACCTCGCCACACAGGTGTGTGAGCGCGTGCTGTACCGGCCTTCATTAGGTGCTCGCTAACGGCACTTGCCCCAAAAGTCTCTTCATGCTATATGGGAGATCTTTGTGGATACGGGACACGTGTGAACTCGGACCCATGCCTTCGCGTTTTTATCGTGCCGGTATGCAGCGTCGTTTATAACATAACCATCTCAACTTTTTGTTATATAAACGATTTCTTTGCACTCAACTGGGGGGAGGGGGGGGGGGCCACTGCGTGTTTGAACCCGTACCTCGAGTTGCACCGTCTGTATACCCGTCGTGGTGAGCCCGCCGTGGCATGTGCGATCTTTATGTAAACTAATCGTAGCGTTATGTTTTGCCTGTTGTAAATCCACTTGGATGAATACTTTATCGTGTGTCACTTCTACAGTTTCCCCGCTGTGTGCGTGCGCGAGTACTCGTGTCTATCCACGGTGGCGAGTTTTGTAATTCCCTCGGGGGTTGGGGGTGTTCTGTTATGTTGTTACACCCTTGTGTACATCACTGAGTGCTTGTGTGTCTCCTGAAGTCAATCTCGCATGTACCTCCCAATGGGTTATATTGCCTTGTGTTCCCCTTTATGGATTGCTTTTTCTGTGCTAATAGCACCATGCATCTCCCTGGCAAACGATCTGCATAACGGGCTAAACGGGGCTTTCCATGTAACAAAATACCGATTGGGCTGCGCGAGCATGCGTCTAGTTTCATAACGGCGAGTGTCGCTGCAATCGCACGCAACGGTGTGTTCCACTTGGCAAATCCGATTGCGATGATGGGACTTCTGGCTTGCAAGAGGGTTCCGCTGGTGTGCATTGGCTTGCATGCTCGCGTGCAAAGCCTGTTACCTTTTTGTGGCAACGTCATGGCCTGAAAATAAGTAAAATGCCTGGAAATGACATTGGAGTTTACGTTTGTTATCATTGCCCCCTGCTATCAAAATGTAGCAGGCCCTCCTGAAAAACTTACAAAATAAGGCCCATTGAGCTTGTGTCGCTCCTTTTTTCCAGAAGCAGGATGGGCACGAAAATTATAGCTAAACGAAGAGGCTTATTTGGAAATGTATAGCAGCCAAATACTCTAAACGCGTGATGTTGATTCTAAAATGTGGAGGGGTGGAAAAGCTGGAGGACCTGGAAAGAAATCCCCGGGGAGAACTTGTACTCAAAATACAAGCCAGGTCCCCTAAGACATGGTGGTGGGGGGGGGGTTCTTTCCTGGTTTGGCAAACTTAGTAATAACATCAGAGGCAGTCTACTAAGGTTGGTGTTCATCGTCATGGTGTGGGTTCTTGAGCAAATTCATAAATGGCCGTCAGTCCCTGGTGCTTGGGCAGAATCCCTGAATGGTGCTCGTTTTCCTGTACCCCCCCATTCTCTCCCGCAGGCTCCTGCAGCAGGAGGACCGGCAGAGCTCCTCGCTGCCGGCGATCCCCAACCCCTTCCCGGAGCTCGGCAGTCCGGGGGGTTCCCCGCTCCGTGACGGAGCCTTTCTGCCGGAGGATCAGAGCAACAAGAAGGCGAGTTGTGACCCCGCAAACGCACGCCTCGCTTGAACGGTGCACCGCTGCGGGTTTTGCCGCACTGCGTGCCGGTGTTGTACACCACGCGGTCGGGCATTGCAGTGCGTCCGCAGGTCCATCGAGCAAGGGGAAGGCCTAAAAGTAATCCACGAACTCAGACTCGGATATCTCACTTGTCAGTACCACCCAGAGGTGGGGCAACATTCGTGGTTAAAATTTATTTTTGGCCAATTATGGTCATTTTGATGTGGCCGTTAATCAAATGAATCCATTGCGGTCACCGTTTTTAATACGTTTTTGCTGCTGCTGCTATTAGACCCAGATGTTCGAAGTCAATGCAGATTATGGGCGTAGCATTTGTGTGGAGCGGTAGCTGTCCTTTGAAGACATTGGCGATGTGGTGCCATTGATGACGTTGGCCATGATCTGGAATGGCATCATCTACGTGTGGTGCACTCAGCCCGGTTTTAAAGAAAATGTTAGTGTGTGTAATATATATAATCCAGTAGGGAAATGTTGGAAACCTAAAGTAAAAAAAAAAAATCACACGCAGTCTTGTGAAGTGTTGGGCCACCAAGAAGGCCACCACCATGGCATGCAACCCAAACCTAATGGACCGCATCTTAAACTACCGTAGTCTGTCCTCCAACGGAGAAGAGCACAACTACACGGACTCTCTTAGCTCCTGGACACATCGCTGCTGCCACCACCATGCGCAGTAACAGAATGGCGTTGAGCGTAGCGAGTTGGGAAAACGAAACGGCGCATGCACCGTTCCTGCCGCTGGTGGCCATTTTTAAACTTTGAGCACCGATTGACAAACCCTGCTGCATCTTACCCCCCCCCCCCCCCCCCCGGTCTGGCACGTTGGCTGTTATCGTGCAATAAATTATGTCAATGCCCATTGACGATTACAATCTGTCAACATCAAGCTAAACGGCCTAGGTCTAACAAGAGACGTGGAAAGGAGAGAGATGAAATAAAACCCGAGGTGCTTTTTGAAACGATGCCAAGTCAAATGTGCGGTACAAAATATTAACCCTTTAATCGGCGCGCGGTACCGTTACTGTTTTCATAGCCATGTTTAAACATTTTTACTAAGATGCCCTTTGTACGCGCTCGGCCATCTTGTCAATCCACTGCTGGACGACGGCCCTTCCTCCGCACCGTGTCGTTCACGAGGGCTGCCCCTTTGCCACCCTGGTCTGTGCGCGTTGGCAAAGGTCGGCGGGGGAAGCGTACAAGTACTGTACAACAATACATTTTGCCGTGCTACCCTCTGCTTGCCCACCTTGTCGCGACGCAGCCCAATAGGACCTGTTGTGCATCGCTGTCACCTAGCGAAGCACCAAGCCAAACTCAACTTTGCTTAGTCTGTGAATTCTGACTTATTTGCGTGCATTCAAAATGATTTTGGGCAAAGGAGGAAGATGTCTCCAATGTACATTTTCCATCCCCCCCACTGCACTATTTGCTTATTTTTAGGTGGGCTAAATGATGTGGCTCTCACATTAATTATTTGCAGGCAATTCTGTAATTGCCCCCTTTTGTAGGCGGTTATCATTTCTGGGAAATTGTGCACAAGCACCACCGATGGGAAAATATTGTACGAGTGTTAACCCAAAAATGTCACTTTGCGTTTGAAAGGTTGGTCGCTTTCCATTCTTTGTGGCTATCGAAATAGCACTTGCCAAAAAAGTTTGGAATTGTACTAATTATTTTTGCGACCGCATTTTTCCTGCAATCGCTGGCATTTCCGATAAAACTCTTTAAATTTCTAGGCCTGCTGACGCATTTCGCGAGGCAGGATATTGTACCAAACGAGGGCCCCCCTTTGGACTGCGTGCCCTTATTAAAGTGCGCCACATCTGCTAAAGTTTTTACAGTTTATAAAAAAACCCGCTGTGGAGGAAATAATCTGTGCCGTGACGTTGGCACGTGACTCATGCTTTTCCCGGTACAAGCCCTTCCAGCAAGGCTCTAAATTGTCTTCCGCTTATAACCTTTCATGTGGCGCTTCCATTTCAACCACTGCCAAGGTTTGCGAGGCGGTGGGAGCAGGGGGAGGTGTGTGTGTGGGTGCTGCGTGACGTAGAATCACGCCGTGGTAGCGCGGATTCCTGGCAGCACGGGGACACGGACTGGAAGCAGCCGTTGCCATCTGGGAACACGTTTTTAAAGCGATACATTGAAAACACTTCTGCTGCGAACGCATGCGGGGAAATGCACGCTGCGGCGCGCTAATAGGTAACGCGTGGGTGCAATTGAGTTGTGCAACTTTTTGCCGCACACGCTTGCACTCTGAATGGAATGCTTAAAATGTTTTGATTGTGTGCCTTTTAATAGAACAGGACCAAAGGCGTTAATGTTAGAGGGGTGTTTTTTTTGCTCCCAGGTGAGAAACAATTCCTGAGGAATATTTTGGGAGGTCTGCCCCATCGTGCTGTTGCCAATCGACCAAATCGTTAATTCGCGACCTTTTTTATGTGCGGAACCACAACGGTTTAGACAAAAGCTAATGCAGTAAAATATTTTGAAATGGAGGCTGCATCTGTGGGCAGTGCAAAGAAAATCCTTCGTTGTAGCATACTGATCCCACGTCTATGTTCCCAGTCTTCACTACCCCGCTCGGACCTGCATGAAGTTTTATCAAAACTACCTCTGTCCGTCGGCATGGGTTGGGGGTGGTAATTGTGTAAGTTGTAAAGAAAATTGGGTTTCAAAAGAACTTGTGATTTTGTCGTGAACGGGAGATAGTTTTGGCGTTGTGATTTTATAGGTGCCAATTGCTGTCTCGCTCGACCTTCTGCAGATTCGCAACAAATTGCATGAAGAGCGCGGAAACCTTCCATGTGAAAACTACTCGCCCATGAGGCGCGTGCTCACTGCTTGATTTGTAGCTGTTGTAGATATTATGACTGGGAAACACTATCAGATTGAGCAGTGGTAAATGCCCAACCGTGCCTATCCAGTTTTTTTATTTTGACAGTGGGTTTTCGCAGCAGAAACCTGTCTGTTTGTAAATGGCAGTGGACCAATAACAGAATGGTTGCTTTTTTTGGGGTGGGAGGGGACAAAGGTGGTTTTTATTTGGCGCGCCCTTAACGTAGTCCATCGTGTGGTGCCTCATTCCATCTGGAGTGGCTTTTTGTACGCCGGACTAATCTACCCATGTGCGCATCCGCACACTCGCTGCTTATGCAGATGTGTGCTTGGATAACGCCGTGTTGGACGAAACCCACTTTGGATGGGTGCCCTCTGTTCCAGAGGACATTGTCCAGGCCGTGGTTCATTTCGGAGTGCAGGGAGCGTGACGTGCGCGCACCGAGGTGTATGCCAACACTCTGAACGTTCGAGAAATACCTTCATAGTTGGGGGGCGGGGGGGGGGAGGCATGGTGCAGGGCAGCAGAGACCTTGTGGCATTCTTTTGCTTTTTGTCTTTTCCGGCATCACTTCAAGAGATGAAGTGTTCAGTCACAGCTGTTGTAGAGCACAAACCTGTGCTGAAGAGCCTGCGGAAGCAGACTTCGCCAAACTACTTCTGAGATCCCGTCAAGAGATTTCTTTTATCCACGTTTTGACACTCGAACAAAGCTTGATCATGGGTGGCTGAAATGTGGATATAGATCCAGGATCTCGGTTGTGCAACTGTCTTTGACCCTTGTGCTATGTGGATGTGGTAATTAAAAAAATATATAATGTAATGGATTGTCTTGGAGTGGGAGTTGCCTGTGATTGCCCCCCCACCCCAGAACCTATGTAGATGCCACACATGAATAGCATGTTGGATCCTACTTGCTGTGTACTGTGGACTCGAGGCTCCGTCTTATCTTGGAGTGGAATATGCCCAGGGCTTTGAGCCACATTTGAGACTTTCGATTTTTGGGAACTTGGATGATCTCAAGCTGCCTTTTTTATTGTTACTTTTGCATGATCCCTCTGGTTTTAGCGGCATTATGTGCCATGTTGGCGACGACGATGCCTAATTGTTGTTTTTGTGTACTTGTCTTGTTTGGCCAAATTTGTTACAGCAAAAATGAGTTTCTAGTGGGTGGTAGATTTTTGTTTGCAGTTTTTTTTATTTTGACTCCTAGATGCAACGTCCACTTCCTTTTGAAAAATAATCGCTGTTTCTCCTGACGTGTGCCGCTCAGCAGCCCAGTTTGCTAAAGTGCATAGCATAGGCAATCGGTGGCTTTTAAGGCTCCAAGAAACAGGCAACATTTAATCAAGCTACGTTTTATCAGTGGTGAAGGGGAAAACAAATAATATGCAAGGTTATGTGATACTAAATCGCCAAGTTGGCATGAATAAGAAAAATCCCACACGCACGCTAAGTTTATATTTATGCCTTTCTTGCCCTAGGCAGGGGAGTCTGAGGGCTGGCTGAAGTCCATCTGAGAAAATCACGTCCTCTAATTCTTCCCCCTCCAAAAGAATGTCAAGATAAGCCCCAGCATTTCGGGGTTGGATATTTCACATGTGCCTTGCGATATTTGTTTTATCAACATCAAGGCCAAGGTTACATGTGGTGATGGCAGGGAGCTGAGGGGAGGGTGTAAAACATTTTGGGTCGTGGGCTGCGGTTAAAAAAGCATGTTTTTATTTTCTCCACTCCAGGTTCTTTTAGTCGCACACAGGGCAGGACATGAGGGTGGGGGGGGGGGGGGGGGGGGGAGGAAAAAAAACAAGAAAAGTAGCCTGGGCGTATTTTTTGTAAAACATTTTCTTTGGCAAAGGGGGGAAATTATAATCTTCTCGCTCAGAATGGCCTGTTTTGCCATATGAAATAATGTGATGCAAACCTACACCCCGACCCTATTTTTAAGAGTACCCACACTGTGCTTAATGACTTGCTACTGTATGAGAGTCGTCCACTGGGGTAAAGCTACCGAGGACTGGCGTGGTCTTGGCAGGGCCGGCCGCCCATTGGGCCTGCAGGTCCCTGCCTCTTGTGTCCAGTGTTGACCTGTCCGCGGTTCTCTTGCATGGAGCTGTGCGGCGAGGGTCTATCAGCCACGTGGCCAATCTTCCGCAGCCTTAAACATGAGCCGTGTGCATGGGAACATCCCCCCCCCCCCCCCCCCCCCCCCCCCCAGCGTTGTTAAACATCGAGCACGTACTTCTAAATAATTGCTGGCTTTTGTTTTCAATAATACAATATGAAGGACGTACGACTGTTTGTTCTCTCTTGCCCATGTATAGTCTAATAAGTTTATGTTGTTCTTCCGTATGCCGGTGACGTGTGACCACGTATCGCAAAAAGGTCGACATTTTTTTACGAGTTTCCTGCCGGCCACTAAAGTGCAACAATGCCGCCTTGTTTGCTACCTCCGGTGGTAGTGGGTGGCGTTGGCTGCCGGGTTTGGAGCAGGAATGCCTGTGCGTGCGTTTGTGCGCGCCGTGTATTTAGGCGAGCGCACGCGGTGCTTGCACGACCCCCACAAAAGTCTCGACGCGTGGCCTTTAAAGTGTCGACTTGTTTTCTTTTTAAGTCGACGTGTCCAAAAACTGGTCCTTTTTTTTTACACGACGATGATAAAAATTGAGGTCACTTAATAAACAGCTGCTGATGAAGTTTAACAATGTATTGGTGGCTTCATGCCACATGGGTACAATGGCGTGTTTCGTGGCTTGAGTAACGCTGCCTTATTTTGTATCGGAGGCTGTGCATTTAAAATATCCATTAGCCATGGGCCTTGGTGATTTTTAACCGTGCTTTATAAAAAAAATATTTACTTTATGCATGCGTTTTTGGTTTAATTATTAGCAGATCCTAACTTTGCAAGGGTCATTAATTGCCTCTGCCAGCATGTCCACAAAGAAATCGCGTTCGAGGCAACTGAGAACTGATGAATCCTTCTAGATCTACCCCCCCCCCCCCCCCCCCATTCTACGTAGAAGCTATTAATCCATTAACATTGCATGAAGTCTATGCGTGCTTTTGCATTTTATCCTGGCATATCTGGGCCGCACCAACAATTACCAGAGATTGTTGACTGCTGTAAAAATGGTGTCGAGTGGTGGCTGATGGAGATGTGGCGTGTGCTGTGTGCAACAGGCGCTTGGAAACTCAGAGTCCCATGGAGCTTCGAACACAGAAAAAATGGTAAGGTCGATCTTTTTGTTGTGTGTGCAGATGTGGTTTTTAATTTCCCCATTCGGCTAACACCAGACCTGTGGTAATGTTTTATTTTGTAGTTGCTTAATTGCAACTAACTGCAATCACTGATTTTTATTTCGGCTGATAATGTTGCTATACTTGTAACTAATTGCCCAAGTTCTGACCTTCTTTTATGGTGCTCAATTAAGAAGTGGCTTTGAACACGACTGGTAGTTTAACTGAGAAATCTCAACTCTGCTATATCTCGTACCAAAGTCTGATTCAACTTGAAACCCCGCACGGAAGTTGCTAAGGAGGCGGGAGCATTGTGCTGAAACCATGACGATTTTGGGGGCTTTTATCCAGGTGGTGGTTTTATCATTTAAACGGTGCCCGAGGTGAAGAGCTTTGATGCTCGTCTGGGTCACAACTGTAACATAAGATGTGTGTTCCTTGCACATGGCAGACCTTCCACTTCTGAGTTGAAATATAAATTTTAATGTCACGTGATTTTAAGCCTTTCTTTTTTGTCACGTAGTGGTGGTTGGTCAAGTGGCCTCTTCGTGCACTATTTTAAACCGAGTCGCATGTTGGAAACTGCTCTCATCTCTCTCCTAATGGGCCCTTTTTTCTAACATGCCATGAACTCTGCTGTGCTGGTTGTGAAATGAATTTTAGTTTTGTGACGAATTATAGTAAAAACTGATTTTAATATTTGTCGAGGGGGGAAAATATCAATTTGGCAGACAACCACCGCCTGGCTAATCTTGTTTTTACGGTGCACGCAAAGCGTAGCAACTATTTTAGACTTCCTCCCCGTGCTCCATTTCCCCGGATGTTTTACGTTTCCATATTTACTAATCTTCGCCGCTAGCAAGCGCTCAAAGCCATTGCACAATTGCATTCCCCTGGTAATGGATAAATGCTGGAAACTTGGGAGCACTGGGGTTGAGAAAGATTCGGTTTTTAGGGGGGGGGGGGAGAAGCTGCAACTCGCTCATGACTTTGGCAGCAGATGCCCCCCATCTTGTACATCTGTGTAAATGACTGGAAAGCTCAATTCTTTTAAAGTTTAAAAATAGATCCATGTGTGATCGTCATCCCCCACTGGCTTTTGAACAACGGAGCTCTGGTGTGGTGCATGAAGCGACTCATGGTGGGAGTCGGACTGGCTGCAGAAATTCCCCCCCCCCCCCGCCATCTCCCTGTGTGATGTTGTCTTTATACTTTTTTTCTGCACACTCCCCTACACATGATGCTTTCTTATTGCACGCCAGTTAAAATTGCTATCTTAGTTGGTCTACATGGTGTAACGTGGACAACGGGTTTCCTCCAAAACCAGGCGTAATGTACGGTGGTGTTGACGGTGACTCGCATGGCGTGCACAGTGTCGCGTGTGCATGAGTTACACAAGTCACCGCAGCACGCTGCTTTTTAATTTAACACTTAAAGACATTGGGCTGACATTGCCCGTGGCGCTAGTTTGGAGTGGCAGCCTTCCAGTGCAGTAAAATGCTCGGTGTAATTAAAACTGTTTTGCCTTCGCGGCTGTTGATGAACCAGTTTTATTCCAACGCCGCACGCGAGGCTGGTAAATACTTGCGTACAAATACCGAGGGCTGGAGCAGCTACAATGAATGACGGCAAAATCCGAGCTCGACCACCGCACGCTAAAAACTTAGTCCGGCCTGCCCGTCCCTCGGTTGAGGGGGGGGGGGGGGGCTGCTGTCGGGCGATGTTTTGAAGCTGCGGCTATTTTGTTGGCGAACGCGAGGGTCGTGAGAAATTGTAACTGCTTGTTGCGGTCGCTGTGTGGCGGAGGTTTAATCCGCTATGCCCAGGTCTGTCCCGTAGCCTCCTGCCAGCGAGCCAAGTGCACCTAGCCTGGCGCGAAGTTTGACGTTATCGGCACGTGGCGGTTCGTCGTGGTGTAATGGCACTCGCACGCTGCGCTACAAATTTCCGCGGCTTCGATTCGCTTCCGGCGAGTGTCGGTAGCCGGTGGTATTGAAAGTTTTTTGAGTCGTCCCTCGGTTGACTTTGGGGGAGGAGGTGGGGGACGTGACTGGGAATCTTGTTGGCTACAGAGCACCCTACTGCGTGCTCTCCCTTGGATGTAATGGCTGTTTGCTAGGAGCACTTGTGCCAGCTGTGGTACATGGAGATATGACAGTGTGCGTGTCTTTGCTCTGTACTTGCAGTTCTAAGAATCCTTGGTGGGGGTGGGGTGGGGGAGTAATCCGTGATTCATGGCCTCGGCTCTCTTGGAGCTCTGAAGGACCAAATGAAGGTTGTGTCAAACGCAAACCTAATTCAAGACTCGTCAGCTTAAGAACAAAGCACGCATAGATTTCGACAAGGTGACTTGATAATCTACACCCCCCCCCCCTCTCTCTCGCGCCGTGTGATTTGCTGAGGGGGTCACAATTCAACTCTGCAATCTTTTCTTGGCGTGACTACGTGGATCCCAAGAACTTGCGGTGTACAATGTGAACAGATCAAACGGTCATTGATCTCACACGCAGTTGGATGCCTGGTATTGAGTGGACAAAAACATAACTCTTAATAGATTTTTCTACATCCGATTTCGGAACCTCTATTGCATAGACTTTTGTGCCGCAATACTTTATTTTTCTTTGGTTCTACCCCCAAATCTTTGTCAGTCTTTCTTCGGACTGCAGGAAACCGATTTTGATGTACGAAGCAGCTTCTCAGATCGTGTAATGGACGTGTCGCCAAGTTGCAACCGCAACCCCCACGTTGTTTGGCATAATTCTGAGCGTTATTGTTCCATGCCGGAGTGTCCTGTCCTGAATTGATTGGTTCTCTTCCTGGAAAAGACTCGTTGTGCTGAACGGCGCCGCGACTTGAACACTCGCACATGGGAGGAGAGCGCCAGCCGGCAGCTCTCTCGCTCGCTGCCCGGCGGCGCTGTGCGCACCCTCCCCTCGGTGACGCGCCGCGGGACGATACGGAGTGCTCGGTGGAACCGTCGCAAAGGTGGTGTCCGTGGGGGCGTAGTTTAGGTGACAATTATCTCCAAAGGCTGTGTTACCTTGTTTGACACCGGGGTCTACACGCGTTTGTAAAGCCTGGTGAAAGAGGTTTTTGGGGTGCAATGAGTTTGAATGACGTCATTTTGAGTGGTTTAGCTGCTCACGTGCACTTGCCATGGGCCCTGCCCCTTGGTGACGGTTGAACAGAGGCCTGTGTTTGTGCGATTGGACTAGTGTCTTTTTAATGTCAAATGGATGTTGCGTCATCAGGCATTGAACTGCCGGATGACTGTTTTCCATAGCCCCCTCCGCCTCCGATCCCACGATGTAACAATCCACAAAGCAACATAGTGCGCACTGCCATTCTCGTCGCTGCTTCACCACTTGTGGACATCCCCTTGGGCGTTTACTTCCTTGGCCGCCACTGCGTTTGGCACCGGTCGCTGGGCCGCGATGACGCGTCCTGCCCACGTCCGTCTACTTTTCTCATTTGAAATATTGAAGCCAATGTCGCGCCTCGTATCGGCAGGTTTTTTATGGCGTGAATCTTAAACGCACGACTACAACTTGGCATTCGACTGTTTGTTTGGCTTGACGCATCCAAATATGTAAGACGACCATGCAGTTCACTTGAAGCTTTGTCAGCAACAAAGAGGTGTGTGTGTGTGTGGTGCTCTTGGGTTATTTTTCTCTTAAGACCTGAAAGGCTACTGATTGCTAAAACCGGTTTACTGGGATGGGTGGAAGTTTCCATGGTACAGTTTCTCTATTTGCTGATGCAATGTCGTTCTTGCGTTTCCTACCATTTTGACCAGGGTAGCGACTTGTGCATTGCGGCGAAAAATGGCCTGGGTGTTTCGGGAGCCCTTTCTGTTTCAGAGTTTATTCCCTGCAGTGTGTAATGATGGCTGAACACTTTGTATGGTGAACTTCTTTCGCACCGTACTTGGCCAACTCTGCTAATAGGGATGGGATTGGATGGACGATCTCTGTGGATGGTCCTCAACAGGGATGGTGGAATCTGGTGAGGGTGAGGTTCACAGGAAACTACAACAACTGTTGTAGCAAGGGTAAGGAGGCGACGGATCGTTGGTGGGCGAGGGTGACGGTGACTCGTTGATCTCCCTGCATTACTCTGAATTATATCCAGTGCAGTGACGTTGCAACTGGGGTGCTTCTCCCGGTTATGACGACCGTATTCAAAAATCAAGCTGGGGTTGGCGGAGCCATCATTGATGGCACCTGTGTAAGATGTCCATTGACAAGTACAGTAAATGACCAAGTAGGTCAATGATGCACGTACATATTTGAGCATCCTCTCCTTTGTTCTGCAGATACTCTTCCTTGTGCGCACTGTACCGAAATGCAGACTTGATGCAACTTTCGTGGATTGAGAAAATTGTATTGTGGGTGTTGGTGATTTGAGCAGATTCTTAATGTGAGGTGACGTGTGTTTGGGTGGGGAGGGTGTTCAACTTGTCGACTTTCCACATTCGTTCCATCCGGCCTGTGGCGTGTTCATCTTAAGTGGTTTTTGGTTCATGAAAACAAATCGCCCGCTTTTGCGTTGCGTGGGTGCCGTGTGTTTTCGTAGCGATCTGTTTTAATGTCACATGTTTCTAATGGGGGCAAAAAAAAACTTTTCAGGAGACTAAAAATGGAACCCAATGTAAGTCTTGGAATCGGGATGCTGGTTTTTTTGGCATGTAAATATATACCCAGCACTGGTATTTTGTGAAAGGATGCAGAAAAGAACACTGTTCCTTTTTGAAACTATCCCATTATTGAATGGTAAATATATTTTGAATTAGACTTCTATGTAAAAAGTTTCATACTCAATATTTGGTATTTCGCAAGCACTTTAATTCGTACACTCAAAGTGTTGAAAGTAATTGCTGAGGCAGCTCTTCTCTCAAGATGGTACAACAGGTTCCACGTTGCTCATTTGGTCCCAAGTTGACCTCGAGTGTCCCCATGGACTCGGTCACTTTTCTCCTTTTCATGTGTCCA